GGGAAGGGTTATTTTGCATGAGATATTATTTTAAAAAAAAAGAAAAACCAACTTTATGCCTTGTTTCGGGTTGCACTCATGTTTTTTTGGTTTCCTTTGTTAACTTTTAGACTCTCTATATATCTAAACTATACAAAAAAAGAAAAAAAAATTTCCTCTCCTTTGATAACTTTATACTAGTGTACCTAACTAAAAAGGTAAAATTAAATGGATCCTAATCTAGTGATAAAACTTTTAGTGAATTATGATGCATGTGTGAATCGAGTTCCATTAGGGGTTAGTGATAATTTATTATGGACTTAAAGAGGAGAAAATCTTCTATTAGCTGTTGTACTAGGAAAAGTTGGTATTTCTACCCAAAGCTTTACATGCGTGGTCAATATTACCCTATTCTTTTTCGGTTAGCCCATATTGTTCCATTGTAGGAAATTTTCACCAATTTTCTCCAATTGGCTCAATTTTCCTTCAACTTAATAGATTTCTATTAGTATTAATCACAAAACACCCCAATAGTTTTAAAAATCATAAAAATGACCCCTAAAATATGTAATAATAACAAAATGGTTCTTTTTATTTTTTTTTTCTATTTCTCTTTACTACTTTTCATATCCATAAATTTTTATATTTATTTTTATTAAGAGAACCAGGGCGGTACCTGGCGGCCGTTCCCCGATTTTATTAATTTTTAAAAAAGAGATTACACAGGCAGTGTTTAAGACTTATTCAAGAGGAAGAGACCGTCTTACAAAGATTTCTAAAATCCCATGACAGCTCTGTTTCAACTTCTAAGAGTATGCCTTACAAAGATTGTAATATAATCCCATGGCATCTCTGTATTTAGAAGATTATAGCTAAGAGATAGTCTTACAAAGGTTCAAACATTAACCCCTTGACATCTCTATTTTCCTAGTCAAACCTAAACTTTTCTTTTACATTATATTGAAAAACTATCTACTCCTTAAATATGGAAAAGAACATTTATCTAAGTACCACTTACCTCTCAATAAGATTGAGAGATCCTCTTGCAACTCGTATTGAGCAGTTAATCCATTGGATGATAGCTTTGCTAAGGCGTCCGCCAGACTATTAGCTTCCCGAAAGATATGGACTATTTTTGAATTTGAAGCATTTAACATTGTCCGAATCTTTCGTAGTCTTGAAGTATAGCACCAAGGAAACAACTCGTCTCTCTGAAGAAGTTGCACAATGATCTTGCTATCTATTTGAACTATCACTCTGGATGTTCTTCTTGCTTCACAAGCCATTAATCCATTAAGAATGGCCTCTAGCTCCGCTTCAATACTCAAAGGTTGTCCCATGTATTTGCATTCAGCTCGTATGAAAATTCCACCTTCTCCTCTTAACACATATCCCCATCCCGCTTCTCCAGGTTGGCCATGCATTGATCCATCTGTGTTTAAAACTGTCTCTCCTGGTTCAGGCGGTTGCCATCTCAAGGACCAAATTGTTTTTTGCTTTGGAGGTAGCACTTTTGTGGAAAACATCCTTTCTAGATCTAGCTTCTCCTCATAGGTTTTTTGCTTGAAGCTTATGGACACTCATCAAGTTCGAAATGTGAGCATTAAGATTTTTCTTGAGAATATCTGAACAAAAATTGGTAGCTTCATGTATCAATTTATTTCTCACTTTCCGAATTTCCCACATTAGAAATATTGGAAGCACCATTTGAATGGTCCACTTTGCCATGGTATCACTACCCACTGAATGCCGAGCTTGCATGTTACACCTCCACCCTACACAATTAGAAAAAGAAATATCTAGAGAGGAGGCAAAATGAATCCAAATCGGTTTTACCTTTACACATTGGAAGAAAATATGATCAATATGTTCCTCTTCTGCACAGCACATTGGGCATCTTGATGGTTGCAAATGAAATCCCATTTTCTGTAAAATTTCAGGAAAAAGTAACAAACTATTAAAAAGCTTCCACATGAAGAAAGAGATTTTCAATTGTAAAACTTTATTCCAAATATTTTTTAAGATTGAAATCTCTTCTCTTTTTTCCCGGATTTCTGAGTAGGCCGAGGAGACAGTAAAATTCCCCATTGGATTTGGTGTCCAAACAGATTTGTCTTGCTCCTCGCTAAAGAAAAACTCCATTGCTTGCAATTTCTCCACAATCTGAGGATTGAGTAAGCCTGTAAAAACATGCATATAAAATGATTTGAAAACAAAAAAAACCTTCACTGTTAGTTCCAGCCATGAAGGAGTTGACATTTCACTCCATATAATCCCTGAATTGAGCCATCTGTCAAACCAAAAAGAGGATGATCCGTCATTGATGATCTTGATACTTCTCGCAGCTGCTAGAGTCTCCACCTTTAGAACTCGTTTCCAGCTTGTTTTTTCCTCAGCTGAATTGGATAAAGATGCCACAAACCTAGCCCAAACACCTTGATCATTTTCGAGTTTCCACCATAGCTTCATTGAGAAAGCATTTAAAGTGTCCTCTAGCTTCCGAAACCCTAAACCATTTTCCATTACCGGAAAAGTTAGACGACTCCAAGCTCTCTAATGTCTTTTACCTCCTTGTTCATCTTCTCCCCAAAGAAAGGATTGGCATTTCTTATTAAGCACTTCCAAAACTGATTTAGGTGGTGCAATTGCAGCTAAAGTGTGGATAGGTATAGCTGACAATACATGCCGAATTAGCACTATCCTACCTCCCACCGACAACATCTTGTTTTTCCAATTTCCAAGTTTACATCAAAAGCGTCCAAGAGATGTTGGAAGTATTCACCTTTCCTTCTTCCTTTATAAAGATTGCAACCTAGATATTTGAAGGGGAGGCTTCCTCGCGGCATTTGAAGGGTTTTGGCCACTAAAGAGATATGAGACTCGCTGCTTTTTTCGGAGGCCAAATACATGCTTTTCTGCTTATTTATTCTTTGCCTTGTTGCTGTTTCATAATCTCTGAAGAAATCGTTTGATTGCAGCATAGAACTCCGGAGGCCTTTGGTGAATATTATGAGATCATCCGCGAAGCATAGATGTGACACAATTTTTGAACCAGCAGGAATTCCATACATTGCTATTTTCCCGAATTCAGCAAGGCTTCCCATATTTCTAGTAAGAGCTTCCAACACGATTATAAACAAATAAGGCATTAACGGATCGCCTTTCTTGATTCCACGCGAAGCTTGAAAGTTTCCCGCTGGAGTACCATTCAAAAGTATGGAGAACCAACTCCTTGTGAGATTCGACATCACTAAAGCCACGAAGTGCTGATGAAAACCAAATTTCAACATTATCCGTCTCAAAAACTCCCAAGACACCCTATCGAATGCTTTCATCATATCCACCTTTAGAATTAAATTACCACCTCTTGTTAGATGATCAAGGAATTGAAGAAGATCTTGCGTTAAAAGAACGTTATCAACAGTGTCTCTTCCTTGCAAGAATGCGGATTGTTCCTCAGATATGAGCTTGGGAGCACCTTTTTCAATCTCTCAGTGAGAATCTTGGTAATGATCTTATTGATGAAGTTACATAAACTAATTGGCCGAAAATCCACAAAAGAAGTGGCTGTACTTTTTCGGAATCAAAGTTACTATGGTACTAGTAATCGCCCGAGGAAGTGGTGTTCCCCTCATAAACTCTTGGCATGCCAAATCCAAATCATCACTAATAATGCTCCAGCAATTTGTGTAGAAATCACCTCCAAATCTATCGATTCCCGGAGCGCTTGAAGAGTCTAATCCATAAACAGCTTGCTTTATCTCTTCTCTTGTTAGTTAAGTTAACAAATCTTCATTTTCCTCCGCATTCAGAATGGTTGGAATATGCTCTAAGATTCGGTTACAAGCCTCTTCATGATCAAGTAACTCTTCTTTTGAAAGAAGATTCTGAAAATATGAGACCGCTTCTTATCCAACTCCCATCTCCTTTCCGGATTTTAAAAATCCCTTGGCGCGCCTTGTTTTTAACCTAAGAAGCATGGAAAAAATCTGAGTTCACATCTCCAACTTTTAGCCATTTTAGATGCGATTTTTGTTGCATAAAATCATCTCTTTCCCGTAGCTTGTTTAACAAATGAGCTTGAGCCCGGTGTAACTCCAATCTGGCGTTCTCATGCCCTTCTTGATCATAGCTTAATTCCCTGGTTTGAACCTCTTCTTCAGCAGCCTTCAAATTTTGAAACACATCACCAAAATCTGTTTTGTTCCATTCCTTTAATCTGCACATTTAAGTCTTCAAAGTTTTATAGAGAAAGCTAGCAATCCATGTCCCTCCACAGCTTGTTCCAAGCCCTTGACGACATTCAGAAAGTTCTCTCTTCTCAACCACATTTTTTGGAAGCGGAATAGTCTAGGTCTTGAATCAACTTCATTTTTGAATTGATGAAGGAGAGGTGCATGATCGGAGGCGGTTCTGCTTAAGTGTTGAACCGAGGAGGATGAAAAGAAATCTATCCATGCTGAATTGAATAAGACACGATCCAGCTTCTTTAGAACCCTGCCGTTTTGTCTCGTCCCCTTCCATGTAAACGGATTTCCCGATGGCACTAATTCTGTAAGATTGCATCCATTAATCCAAGAATTAAAATCTTCCATATCTCCTCGATCAGGCGTAGAAAAACCATCATACTCGTCCAAACAACGAATCACGTTAAAATCCCCACCAATTGCCCACGGTTTACCGCTGCTTCGCTGATGAAAATCTGACAAATCATTCCATAGTACACTCTATTCCGCCTTGTAGGCTTGGCATACACCGCAGAGAATAGAATCTTTGTTGATAAGCTTGAGTGTTCCAATTCCATGTGCAAAACTTGATCTGAACCCCCCAAAGTACAAGCTGAGCATTCCCTCGAACAGAAAATCCTGATTTTGCTATTTTCAGACGCATAAGCCGAAGAAAATTTAATCTTCAATTTAACTTCTTCGATTTGAGAAACAAGAAGCAATGGTTCCAGAATAACTACAAAAGAAATGGAGTGCTGCTTTATCAAATTCTTTAGTCTTCGAATGGATGGCTTATTATTGATTCCCCGAATGTTCCAGATGAGCTGACAATTCATTGATAACTTTTTTTCTTGGGGGATCTCTACTGATTCTCGTTGAAGTACGAGTTTTAGGACCAGGCTTCTTCGCTGTTTTTGTTGATGTTTTCGGGCGCCCAGGTTTCTTCTTTTTTCCTTCTCCATCAGAAGCTACTAGTCGCGCATCTTCCACTCTTGTTGTATTGTCCGATTTTCCAATGCCCGAATCATCTTTGGTAGAAGACCCAACCATCTTTGAGTTCTGCCCCTGATCTAGTTGTAAATCTGTAAAATCCAATTCCATATCAGAGTTGGAAACATCAGTTTCTTGTGCCATTGACTTCTCATCAGTATTTCCTTCCTGTTCTGAAATATAGCCATCTTCCTGGATATCTGTAAGAATCTGAAACCTCTCGGCAGCAGTGAGTCCTGAGGTTGAGGGGTCTTTATCCTTAATTCCCACTGTATTACTTTCAAGCATCTTTTCCTTTGGCTTCCAATCCGTTTTCACAGCTTGAACCCTAATTTTGGAATGGTCATCCGCGGTCTGCTTTTTATTCTGAACTTCTGAGGGAGTGGATCGTGGCTTCCCATGACGGCAATATTTTGCATCATGCCCAATCTTGCGACATTCCAAACAGTAATCAGGTAAGTTTTCGTAAGTAACCGGCTGGTAATACGATTGTTCTTCAGTTCCAAGTCGGATTCTACTCGGCAAGTCGCGGAAAAGGTCGACCTCTACGCAGACCCTTGCAATCGAAGGACGCGACATGTTCATCGTTGGGACATCTGTTTTCAGTGGTTCTCTGATGATGCTAGCCAATTTCCTGAAGTATTCTTCATTAAAATGGTGGATCAGAAGACCTTCAAAAGGTACCCACACCGGTGCAATAGAAGACTCATGATCCGGATTGAATTGAGGTGTCCATTTTTTTTTAAAAAAATATTTAGCTTAGATTATTAATTTTTTTGGGTAAAATGTAAATATATATTGATCATCAAAATGCAAAGCATATTTACAACCAAAACTTCCATGTTTAGAGACTATCTATCAACTCAAAACTGTACAATAAAATTTTCCTGCAACTAACCAAACAACCTGTGCAACAGTTTCTCAACTTTAGATGTTCTCTTACTAGCCCAACAGTGTTCAAATCTCCATTGCAATTCCTGTTTAATCAACTTCATCACCACTACTACTGTTCTTCTTGTACCAGCAAAGATTCTCTAGTTTCTTTCTTCCCAAGCATGGTAGACCACAGCAGCCATGGCAGCATATAAAACTCTCCTCTTCAGTTTCTGATTTTTCCAGACAGTCAGCATTTGATTCCTCCATTGCATCTACTCAACCGCAATTCCCGGTAAACCCACCCATTGACCAGTTTCCTTGATCAATTCAGAGGGGAAGGTACACTCAAAAAATAGGTGTGTTGATGTTTCAGTTTCCTTTTGAGTTTTGACAGAAAATGCACTACAGGCTATCCTTCAACATATTTAATTTCAGTAATCTGTCTTTTGTGAGCAACTTGTTTTGCCAAAACAACCATAGAATAAAAGAATGCTTAGGCACATGTGCCTGAGCCCAAACAAACTTAGCAGCAGTCATCACAACACCCTGGCAAGTTAACCAATTATAACCTGAAGTAACGGAGTATTTCCCAGACTTAGCTCTCCTCTTCAGTTTCTGATTTTTCCAGATAGCCAGCATTTGATTCTTCCATTGCATCTGCTCAACAACAATTCTTGGTAAACCCACACATTGACCAGTTGCCTTGATCAATTCAGAGGGGAAGGTACATTCAAAAAATAGGTGTGCTGATGTTTCAGTTTCCTTTTGACAGAAAATATGCACTCCAGGCCATCCTTCAACATATTTAATTTTAGTAATCTGTCTTTTGTGAGCAACCTGTTTTGTCAAAACAACCATAGAATAAAAGAATGCTTAGGCACATTTGCCTAAACCTAAACAAACTTAGCAGCTATCATCACAACACCTTGGCAAGGTAACCAATTATAACCTGAAGTAACGGAGTATTTCCCAGACTTAGTTCTCCTCTTCAGTTTCTGATTTTTCCAGACAGTCAGCATTTGATTCCTCCATTGCATCTGCTCAACAGCAATTCCTGGTAAACTCACCCATTGACCAGTTGCCTTGATCAATTCAGAGGGGAAGGTACATTCAATAAACAGGTGTTCTGATGTTTCAGTTTCCTTTTGACAGAAAATGCACTCCAGGCCATCCTTCAACATATTTAATTTTAGTAATCTGTCTTTTGTGAGCAACCTGTTTTGTCAAAACAACCATAGAATAAAAGAATGCTTAGGCACATTTGCCTAAACCTAAACAAACTTAGCAGCTGTCATCACAACACCCTGACCAGTTAACGAATTATAACCTGAAGTACCAGAGTATTTCCCAGACTTAGTATGCTTCCATCTTGTTCCTTGAAACTCATCTTTAACTCTCTCCTTGAGCTCTAATAACCTTTTCCAATGCCAACTAGAACTTTGCTTAGGCTGCATCTGCCAGAAATCCCCCTTTTTATATATTGTTCATGGATCCACTTGATCCACAAATTATCCTTCTTTTCAGCTATCCAACACACCTGTTTAATCAAAGCTGCTTCATTCCATTTATGTACATATTTAAGATTCAAGCCCCCTTCTATCTTCCTTCTACATACCTAATCCCAGCTCACCAAAGATAAACTTCTTCCTGTGTCCTCGATAACCTATAAGAAGCATCTGCATAATCTGTTAACCTGCTGAGTCACACTAACGGGCAAGATAAACACAACAGCAGAAATTATTCATGGCCATCAAAATAGAATTAACCAGCTGCATCCTGCCAATGTAAATGAGGTGTTTGGTACTCCAACACTTGATCTTCGCTGCTATTTTTTGCACTAACAGCTCACATTCAGTATGGCTCCATTTCCTAGGTGACAGTGGTACACCAAGATATTTCATGGGAAACTTTCCAACATGAAAACCTGTGATACTACCCTAGCTGCTCCTGTATCTCAGTTGAAACACCTCCAAAAAACATTTGAGATTTATTGTAGTTAGCCACAAGCCCTGTAGCACCTGAAAACCTTTTCAACACCCCCATGATTTTAGAAACAGTGTAAACATCTACTTTGCAGAAGATCATAAGATCATCTGCAAAACAGATGTTTGTTAACTTTAAGCCCTTGCATTGTGGATGGAATTGGAATTTCTTGTCCTTTGCTGCTTCTGCCATAAGCCTGGTCAAATCTCCATGACCAACACAAACAGTAAAGGAGACATCGGGTCTCCCTGCCTCAATCCCCTCTTCCCTTGAAAATAACCACAGTTTTCTCCATTTAAAGAAATTGAAAAACTTGGGGTTCTAACACATTCCAGCACAAGCTTAGAGAAGGACTAAGGAGATCCAAATCCATCTAACATTTCTTCGAAAACACTCCATTCAACCGGGTCATATGCTTTCCTCAAATCAATTTTTAATAATCATCTTCCACTAATATTCTTTCTACCATACATCTTAATCAGATCTTGAGTAAGTAATATGTTATGCAAAATTAACCTATTACTGCAAAAGCACTTTGATTTTGATCAACTAGATCAGACAACACATCTTTCAATTTTTCACAGATAATCTTAAAAATACATTTGTAGACCACATTGCAACATGCAATGAGTCTATATTCAGATGTATCTTGAGGAGCACTATTGTTAGGAATAAGAGCAAGCAGAGTTGAGTTAACCTGTCTCAGCAAATAGCCCGTCTTAAAGAAGTCCAGCACAACCTGAGTGGCATCCTCTTTAACAACTGACCATGCTGCTTTGTAGAACCCATTGCCAAACCCATCCAAACCAGGACTTTTGCAACTGTAGATTCCCTAAATGGCCTTCTTCACATCCTTACTAGACACCTTCTTGAGTAAACTAACTTGTTGTTGCTAACTTAACACGTAGCCCCTCTGAAAAATTTCCACTTGTGATCATTCCATGTTGCTGCTTTGACCCAGTTGCTTCATAAAAAAAGAAATGAAATGGTCTCTAACACAATTACAGTTAGTAATTACTTCTTCATCCTCCTACACAATTGCACTGGTTCTGTTTTGCATAGCTCGAATCCTGAGTTTGGCATGGAAGAATGAACTGTTAGAGTCACCTTGCTTCACCCATAATTCCTTTGCTTTCTGCTGCAAAAAACTATCATAAGCGTTGTGAGCTAGCAAATATTATTTATACACATTCCTTTCAGTTTGCAGTGAAGTCTCATATGCTCCATTAATGTGAATCCATTCTTGCACAGATTCCAGTTCCTTTCTTAAACTTTCAACCTTGAGTTGAATATCAGAAAATTGTGTTCTGTTCAGATGCTTCAACACAGGTTTTAATCTCTTGAGCTTCACCACCAATCTGTACATGCTAATGCCCTGCATTGGTTTCTCCCATAACTCTTTAACCAACTTCAGAAACTCTTTTGACTGACACCACATATTGAAGAACCGAAATGATTTAGAACATTGCCTTTCCTCTTCTGTTAACTGAACCAGTAGAGGGGTATGATCTGATATACCTTCTACCTTAACAGTAACAAAAGAATCAAGAAATTCCATAACCCACTGTCCATTGACCAGAGCTTTGTCAATCTTAGAAATAATTCTTCCTGATCCTAGTTGCTTATTAGACCAGGTGAACCTTTGGCTCTTGATTTCTCAAATCCTGTAACTGACATACCTCAACCATCCTTCTCATCCCTAGCATTTCATTCAATGTTGCAATGTTCCCTCCCTCTCTTTTAGAAATTGTTGTAGTCCCCAAGAACTAACCAACTTGTTTGGATGTTAGCAGCCATATTGATTAAATCACCCCACAATAAATTCCGTTCATCCTAGTTATTAGAACTATATATTGCAGTATAAAAGAAGCAGCATCCATTCATAGGTTCAATCCAGCATTGAAAAAATTGTTGACACTTCTGTATAATATTTATCTTTAATTGTCCTGGATTCCAAACCAATAAGATTCTTCCCTTCTCATGATTCAAACAATTGCTACACCATTCATACCCTGGCCAGTATTTACTCATCATAGATATAATCAACCTGTCATCTAATTTGGTCTCTACTAAACTGATCAACTCAGCCTTGTATAACGTACTAATTCTCCTTACTTCTTTTTGTTTTAGGGTGCTGCCTTAACATTCCAATGTAAAATATTTACCATTGAGATATACCTAGATCAATGGACATTCCCTGCCTGTCTTCACTATTCTGGTCTCTCTCCTAGTTAGTTTCGGCTATCATCTGATGCGATGGCTCTCCATGTCCTGGAATTGCTTCTTCCTCCTCTATCACAAGTGGGCTAAAGCCATTCGAGACTATTACTGTTTGAACACTACTGATTGCCCCTCTTATAGCTCTGTCATCTTTCTGTTGACCTACCTCCTTGCCTCCTTGTTCCTCCTTTTCATGTTCCTCTGATTTTCCTTTTTTAATCACCTTCCTCCATTCAGATTGCTGACTAACTTTCTCCTTCTCCACCTTTTCTTTACGAATTTCAGTTGCAATCTTTTCCTTTCTTTTGTACTCCTCATTTCCACGCCCAAAATTGTGGCAGTGCTTGCATTGAGTTGGCCACCATTCGTTGTAGACTCTTTGTTCAACAAGGTTGCCACTCTCATCCACAAAACGGGTTTCTAATGGTGGTTTATCGTAGATCTCCACATCCACTAGAACTCTTGCAAACGAAGCTCTTTCTCTGGCTGTTGTAAGTGCATCCATGGCAATAGGCCTTCCAAGTGTGCTAGCAATCCGAATCAAATTTGCTGGATTCTAGAACTTCAATTCATGACCTGGGAATTGGATCCACACTGGAATATGCTTCACTTCTTTGTAATTGGCACCCTTCTCCACCTTCCATGTTTAATGATCACCGGATTAGAACCTAGATAATGAATTGGCTCTGTTAATGCTTCATCCAAAGTTTTGAACACTACAAGAAAATACATCTATGGTGACATAGATATCAAGGCATTTTATGGAAAGTGTCGCAATAAATAGAAATAATTAAGGCATGATTAACAAAATGCCATAATAGACTATCAAAGAAGGCATTTTTATTTTTTAGTACTAAATTGAAGTTTTGATGACACAACTAATAAGGCATTTGTTCAAAAAGAATAAAACAATTAACCCATAAAATTGCAAAGCGGAAGAAAAATAATTAGTAAAACCTGGATAAGAAAAAAAAATTAAAAACAATAAATAAAGGTAAATGTAAAACTCCAAACACGTGAGTCACAGCCACTCAACACACAACCACCAAGAATTAACACTTTACAGTTTTTGTTTTTGTTCGCACTACTATTGTTGGTGTTGACGTATTGTTCATCGATCGGCCGTGGTTCTTCTGTCTCCTCCGTAGAAAGGCTATGTGCTCAGTAGCAAAAATGGCGCGGCGACAGATCAAACACCCAATCAATTTAGGGAAAAACCCTTAGGTGTCCGGAGTTCGATCAATTGCGGAGTGGAGTCATTGGTGTTAAAGGATCTGCAATCAATTTTGTCGAGGGTAAATCCCGGAAACGGAGCTAACGGTCCGACCTAGACTGGAACCTGCAAAAAGGAGGTTAGCACTCCGAAGGTCAAGTCAGTTTTTGAGAGAAGTAATTTATTATCACACTTAGAGAGAGAAAGCGTGAGTGTGGAAAAATTGAATTGCAATAAATGAATCAAGGAGTATTTATAGGTCCCCAATGGGACTATACCTGTGGACCCCTTTGTCAGGGGGGGCAAAAGTGTAAATAGATATGTGTTAATTCTTTGTGGATCGCTTGGGCCCAAAAGAATTAACCAAATAGACGAGTTGGGTTCATGAAATCAGCCCAAGTTGGTGGGCCGATTGGGCCGATCCGGGAAGGTCAAAAATGACCACCAACAAATGCCCCTGTCCAGCCCAATGCAGTAGAGTCGGGTTGGGCTGGACACAGAGAGACCAAAGGCCCAGTCGGAAGAGCCCAAAACCCAGAACCTTCCCTCCTTAGGTCGCTACGGATCCAACGGTTGGGATCTTCTACATCCAACGGATCCAACGGTCGGGATCTTCTACATTCAAACGGGATGGACGCCCAGGATTTCATGGAATGAAGCGCCACAATGATGGCGCCTGAAGGTAACCGATGCGACTGTTCGCATCCCTTGGGGGGTATATATATGCCCCATAGGACACATGACTTTATTTCCTTTCCTTTATTTTCTCTCCCAGGCGTAAACACTTAAGCTTTATTTTTACTCCTCAATTCTTTTCTATTTCGTAACCGAGGGCGCTTCTCAGCCCAGAGATCAGAATTGAAGCCGACATGCGTACGTGGGTGAATCTCAGCCGACCCCAGACAAGTAAGTTTCCTTCTTTTCTTGCTCCTTCAATTTACCAGATGGCCAAGGAAGTAGTTAGGGTAGAGGACGTAGAATGTTCGTTAACACAAGAGAGGCTGGGTGAGTTGGAGAGCTATTACAGCCTCACGGCCGTAAACCCCGCATTATCCGAAGGCCATGAGAGAGCCAACACTCCTCCTCAGGGGAAGATTATGATATACGAGAAGTTCTTGGAATATGGATTGCATTTTCCCTTGATGCCTATGTTTAGGAAGATTGTAGAGGCTTATGGTCGACCCCTGGCCCAATACACCCCGAATCTTATAACCATAGTCCTGGCCTTCGTGCACGTGTGCAACAAGACAGGGGTGGAACCAGACATTTTCTTGTTCAGGTGCTTCTATAAGCTCGTCCAATGCAAGAAGAGCTTTCCCGGGTGGTTCAGCTTCACCAAGAATCCGCATGGACCATCCAAGGAATTGGTAGCAAAGAACGAGAGCTCCAAACATTGGAGGTCGGGATTCTTCTACGTGGATGCGAACTTCGTCTCCCTTTTTCTGTGGATGTCGGACGACGGAGGGACAGTCAGCTTGGATCCGTGGACCAAGAAGGACAAGAAAGATATTGAAACCCGGAGGAGGGACTTGGAGAAATTAGCCGGCTGGAAAAAGACCTATACCTATAGGCAAATCGCGTCGCTAAGTGACCGGATCAGCTCTCGTAATCAAGGTATCTTACCCGAAGACTAACTCCGGTTATTTTCCTGTTGATAGGTATATTTGCTAATTTGATGGGCAAACATTCGGCTTTTGATGATTCAGACGAGGAAGAGCAGTATGCCGAAGAAGGGCCGCAAGAGGTCGCCCCACCTGAGACGGGGGCAACATCCTCCGGGCAGACGACGAGGACGCCCATCGAGAGTTCCAGGAGGGGGAGCTCCTCCGGCCGACCCTCAGGTCACTTGAAGAGGAAAAGGGGGGTCTCGGAGGTTGTGGAGGTGGATCCGCTATCTTTCAGCCTCCCAGTGATCCATGAGTTGTCCTCCCTTGATGATCTTCTGAAAGAAGGATATGCAGATCCGGGTCGGGGCACCGATTTATTTGAGGACATACCCGCGGGCCATGCTCTACTAACCTTCGACCCTCCTCGGGTTGAATGCTCTGAGTTACCCGAGACCGGAGCAATGAGGCTGGAGGACGGCATGCGACAGGTGAGTCCTTGTGTTTTTACTTCAGGGGTCCTCTCTCCGTAAATGTGTTCCCTCGCTGACCTAGGATGCCCCCATTGCAGGCCGTGCAGGCAGTCAACACGTTTGTGACAGTATGCGCGGGTTTGAGAGAGCAGCTGGCGTCGGCCCAGAAGACGGTCACGAGTGAGGCCAACAGGGCCAGAGACGCGGAGGTCATGTTCAAGGCCTCGGAGGGGAAAAGAGCGCGTCTGGAAGAGGAGAGGAAGCGCCTGGAAGAGGAGGTTGCGAGGGTGAAGGCACAGCTCGAGGACGCGAAGCTGACCCACCGCCTTCAGATGGAAAGTTTGCTGGCCACGAGTGTCCCGAAGTCCTGACTGGACACGTACATCTTGGTAGGGGTCCAGCGGTACCTGGGGTCGACCGAGTTCGCCCTCGGAATAAACAATGTTATGGACCCTGCTATGGAGAGGGGGGCGAGGAAGGTCGTTTTGGAAATCGAGGCGGCCCAGAAGAAGAATGAGGACATCCGGCCCATCCTTGAAAAGTATGCTGACAGGGACAGGAAAGGGAAGACATCCGCGGTGCGATTGCGGTGCAAGGCCCGGAAACACTTCCGGGATATGGATTTCGCCCGTCTCCCCATTATGCAGCAGATTTCCAAAGCCTGCGCCTCCATTTCTAAGCCCGAGGACATTCTGAACATTCCGGGCAGTCCCTCGTTTGTCTTTCAGATGCCGAGGGGAACAGAAACGCCCCCCAGCACTCCACTGGGATCGGAGGAGGAACTCGAGGTAATTGCATCCGAGCCTCCACCCCAAGGGCATAACTCCGGCAGCCGAGGAGGAGGGGGAACGTCCACGGACTCCAACGCCCGTAGCGGAGACAAGGTGAACGATGCGAAGGGTTAGGATTCCTAGCAATCATGTCTCCGGGGCTTTCCCCGTTGTATCTGAACTTTGATTATTTAAAATGAAACTTATGTTTGTTTTCTGTTGTCTCTTGTTTCGCACATTCGGATTTATCACCGTGTCTATCTCAACGGAACCGTCTTAATCAGAAATTTTCAGTTTATAGTCTGCATGTAAGCATCTTTTCCTCGGTGCAAACTTGTTTTTGTCTTTGGGAATGCGCGTCCATACAACTTGTTGCTAACACGCGCTTCCTTACAGGAGAAGGGCACAGCTTCGGACTTCCTCTCTCATCCTGACGGAACCTCTCGAGAGTTGCCCGTGACCCCGGGTCTTTGGGAGACTTCAGGGATCCCGTGGATTGACTTGCAGTTGCCCGACCCTCACCACGACCCTACGATCTTTCCACTTTACGCGGCCGTAGGAGGGGCTTTGGCAGATCTGAACGTTGATAGGGGTCGAGGGCGACTGTCAGGTCTCGAAGGGCAACTCGAAGAGGCTTTGCAAACCTTCCGGGCCTCGGAGTTGCACGAGGCACGTAAGGCCGTTCTCGAGGCGAAGGCCGAGAACGACGGTTGGATAAGTTATGGCGGGATACGGAAGCTTATTGGGAAGACCATCCAAAGAATTCTATACAATTGAAGATGTTGGCTAACAGTCGCCTTCGGACATTCGAAGCCAAGATACGGAAGAGGAAGAAGGACGAGGGTTTAGCCGAACCTGATCCAGAAGATTTTATCCCCCGTAACTACTTTGAGAGCATGCTGGTACACCTCCGGAAGGCTTACGCCTTGGTTGCTGTGAAGTGGGATCGTTCCTCTGATAAGATCGAGGCTCTTCGGGCATATGCCGGTCAGCTTCGGACAGTGTTAGAAAGCGCGATATCCTTCATCGTGGAGACGGGGAAGGAGTATGACTTCGCAGCATTGTGGCCCGAACCCTGTCCAGCTATGCGAGACGAGCCCACTTCTCCGATTCGTGAGGCCGAACGCCTGATATATGAGAATGATGCTTTGTTCTTCGAGTTGGGTCGGGGGTCTCGTTAAGAACATGTGATTAGGTTAAGTTATCCCCGTGTTTTTTGTCAAGTGTATAGATCTAGGGCTGTGTATATGAAATTTTTAAGAAATTTAAGCTCTCTTTTTTGACCCTCGATCCCAACTACTTTATTTATTTTGTTTACTCGTTTTATTATTATTATTCATGTTTTTACGGTTGTGTATATAAAATTTTTTTCATTGCCAACGTGTTGTTGTCGTTTGACGGAGGCGATACGAGTATCTTCCCCCAGATTTCATATTCCAGCCGTGTTACCGTCGTTACAATGATCAGTCGGTGTTTAGTTGAATCATACCTGACGGAAGGTCGTGGCGGCCTTCCGTATTCTGTAATCTGCGGATACCGGGTGACGGTGCTTTGTTTAGGACGGCCATGCAGTTACCCCAGGGTTGTAGAGACCGTCGAGGTGTCGCAGGCCGCGGAGGCCACACGGTGCCGTTGGCCACTGGGGTCGAGACGGCTTTGCGAATGCCCCAAGGTCACGGAGACCGTCGGGGTGCCGCAAGCCGCTGAGGCCACACGGTGCTGTCGGCCATTGGGGTCGAGATGGCTTTGTAAATGCCCCAGGGTCACGGAGACCGTTAGGGTGCCGCAGGCCACGGAGGCCACGCTGTGCCGTCAGCCACTGGGGTCGAGACGGCTTTATAAATGCCCCAAAGGTCTCGGAGACCGTTAGGGTGCCGCAGGCCGCGGAGGCCACGCGGTACCGTCGGCCACTGGGGTCAAAACGGCTTTGTAAATGCCCCAAGGTCACGGGGATCGTCGGGGTACCTCAGGCCGCGGAGGCCACGCGGTGCCGTCGGCCACTGGGGTCGAAACGGCTTTGTAAATGCCCCAAGGTCACGGGGACCGTCGGGGTACCTCAGGCCGCGGAGGCCATGTGGTGCCGTCGGCCACTAGGGTCGAGACGGCTTTGTAAATGCCCTAAGGTCACGGAGACTATTGGGGTGCCGCAGGCCGCGGAGGCCACGCGATGCTGTCGGCCACTGGGGTCGAGACGGCTTTGTAAATGGCACTGGTAGGAAAGCACGGGAGGTTTTATATATTCATCAAAAGTGCCGAAACTTTCCTATGCTAATATCTATTACAAAAGCGGGCAGGGGCCTTCAAGCATTGAACTTTTTCAGGTTCTGGATGTTCCACCATCGGGGTATGGCACGGGGCTCATCATCGCACGTGCGCAGACGATAACTTCTTGAGGGGGAAACTTCCACAACCTGGTACGGCCCCTCCCAGTTTGGAGCTAGCTTACCGGTTGGTTCGGCGTGGCTTACCTCATTTCGGCGGAGGACAAGGTCTCCGACATCGAAGTCCCAAGCCCGAACCTTGGCATTGTAGTACTTGGCCACAATCTATTTGTATCTGGCTTCGCGGGCCTTGGCCAGGTCTCGACGTTCATCCAGGAAATCGAGGCACAAGCGGACTTCGCCTTCATTCATTTCTTCTGCAAAGTTGACCACACGGGGGATGGGGACCTCAATTTAAGCTGGAAGGATGGCCTCCATACCGTAAACAAGGCTAAAAGGGGTTGCCCCTGTTGCCGTTCTTATAGTGGTGCGGATGGATCAGAGGACGTGTGCCAGCTCCTCGGGCCATAGCCCCTCGGCTTTCTTTAGTCGCTTCTTCATGCCTTGGAGGATAGCTTTGTTTATGTTTTCAGCTAATCCGTTGGCCTGAGGATGGGCCACGGACGAGAACCGTTGTTCGATCCCTAGCTGCTCACACCAGGATGAGAAAATCCTTGATTCAAACTGGGTCTCGTTGTCCGAGACGAGGAATTTTGGGATCCCAAACTGACAGACTATGTTCTTCCAGAAGAATTTGGCCACGTTCTCCCCTGTGGTGAAGGCCAGAGGTTCTGCCTCGACCCATTTAGAAAAGTAGTCAATTGCGACAATCACAAACTTCAGCTTGCCCGGGGCTACGGGGAATGGTCCTATTATGTCCGTGCCCCACTTGTAGAAAGACCAAGGGCTGGTAATTGGGACCATTTTGTGTTGGGGGAGACACGGAATGGGAGCATGTCTTTGGCATTGCGCGCACCGAACGACAAGGTCATAGCAATCCTTGGCCAGAGTAGGCCAGTAATACCCGGCGCGGATCAACTTTTTGGCCAGATTCCGCGAGCCCAAGTGTGCCCCACAAGCACCCTCGTGCATGCTTCGCACCAAGACTCCAGTTTCCCGCGGTCCCACGCAGCGTAGAAGAGGAGTCAGATACCCTCGCTTGTAGAGGATCCCGTCCCTGAGCAAATACTTAGGTGCTTTGAGCCGAATCCTCCGGGTTTCCTTCGAGTCTGGTGGCAATGTTCCCGTTCGGAGGTACTGAACGAAGGGCGTCATCCAGGAGGCTTCGTCAATCACCACGGGTAAAGATTCGTCTTCCAGAATACTTGGGCACGTCTTGACTTCGATGTGGATCCGCTGGGTCAAGCGTATGGAACGGGAAGAGGCCAACTTGCTAAGGGCATCAGCCTTTTTATTTTGCGACCCCGGAATGTATCGAATGTGGAAGGCGCGGAAGCCACGTTCTAGTATCCTGACCCTTTGAAGGTATTTCTGGAGGATTGCTTCCCGAGCTTCGTACAATTGGATGACATGATTGACGACCACCAGAGAATCACTGCAGACTGACACCTCCTGGACTCCGAGGGCGCGGGCAATTGAAAGCCCCGCGATCAGCGCTTCGTATTCGGCCTTGTTGTTCGTGGTGGGGAAGTCCAGTTGAATGGCATAGACAATCTCCGACCCCTGGGATCGGTCAGAACCACCCCCGCTTCCGAACCTTCCCTGGAAGCAGATCCATCCACGAACAGCGTCCAACCTTGCGATCCTGCGGGAGTCACGGGGACGTCCTGAGGACATTCTACCTCCGCGGCTCCCATCTCTTGGGGGACTTCGACAAGGAAATCGGTCAGGGCTTGACCCTTGATTGAAGTTCGAGGCCGAAACTGTATATCATGCTCACTGAGTTCTACTACCCATTTAGCCATCCGTCCGGACGTGTCGGACCTTCAGAGAATCTGCTGTAGGGGCTGGTCTGTAAGAACGAGGATGGGGTGCGCCTGGAAGTACGGGCGTAGCTTTCAGGCAACAGTCACAAGGCAGAATATCAACTTCTCCGCTGTAGTGTATCGAGACTCGGCAGGTAGGAGAACCTTACTGACGTAGTAAACTGGAATCTGCGTTCCCCTATGTTCTCGTACCAATGCTACGCTCACGGTGGAGTCTCCTACGGCCAGGTACAAAATCAGAGTTTCCCTCGGGTCGGGCGTACTCAGGGTTGGAAGAGTCTTCAAATGCTCCTTAAGTTCGATGAAGGCTTTTTGACACGCCTCAGTCCAGCCGAAGGTGTCCCACATTCTTGAGTCCGAATGGCATCTTGACATAACAAAACATCCCCTTCTCAGTGACGAAGGCGGTCTT